ATCGGAGTATGTGTCAGGTGTGAGATAGCTTCTGTCCAGTATGTCGGGTATGGCAGCTCTTCGCTGTAGTTGCGTGACTTTGGCGATTTCTTCGCTGGCCTTTCGTCTTCAGAGTCAGAAGAGATGGATATGACACTGCTTAGATCGCTACTGTCATCCATATCAACATCAGTAGATGCTGCTTTCTTCTTTGTAGCCGAACCAGATTTCGCTTTGCTGTTTGTTGCTGCTGATTTTTGCGGAGTCTCCTTATCGGCAGGCTTTGCATCCTTCAGCTTTTCAAGGTTCTTAGCCTTGCTTTCTTCACTCTGACTCCAGCCAAAACCAACAGGTTGTAGACTGACTACCATACGGGCCTCAATGCCTAGGCCTCGTAACAGAGCCGTAAACAGTTGTTCTCCCAAGTCTCTGCTTCCCTCACATTTACGAGCCCTATCGCGAAAAGCATCTAAACTCTCGACTCGCTCTCCGAAAGTATCTGGATGATCCGGATCATCTCTCCAAGCATTAATCTCGGCTTCTAGTGTCGATGGCGACAGGTAACCACGTTTGCGTAAGCTCGGGGCTGTGACTTGGAACTTGGACTTCCAATACGCAGAAACATATCTTAGTAGGCGAAGTAGAGGATCTCCAGCTGACAAGTTCGGAGTTTTCGGTTCGAGTGGCTCGGATGTCGCGCCCCAATCGCGCCCTTTCTTGTCGCCTTTGTTGCCAACCTTGCCTTTTCCCAGGAGCGTTGCCTTCTTATCCTCGCGAACAGAGGATCGCTTCTGCGGGCTCTCGTACACCTTGACGCCGTTCTTCCCACTGTCCTTCCACTTCCCTTTCTTGTCTTTCGTCACTTGCTTGGACGGAGGACTTGGTGCCTTCTGCACGACGACGCGACTAGGCCCATCTGTGATGCCTGCATCACTCCAGTATTTCTCCAGTTCGCGCCAGCACCCGGCCGACATGCCTTCGACAAGTATCGTCTGCACTTGCTTGTCCTGTATCCAAGCGTTCCTTATGAGGTTGTGGTACATCAGGTACTGTACGTGCATGCAATGCGTGACGCTCCGTATCTGCCGCTGGACCTTGGATGGCCCTTTCTTCCCATCAGACTTTGTATCAAAGGCGGTCTTCGGTGCGGCAGATAAGGTGAGGGCGATATCGCCGGTAATGACAGGCGCAGGACCATGGTCTGGTTTCGTATGGTGATGCGCACCGAGAGCGTCTTCCCAATCATCGTCCTCGCTTTCATCACTATCACCACCAGCCTGCGCTTTCCCTTTCCCTTTGCCCTTGCTCGCGCCATTTAGCGGAACATCTTCAAAGTCATCCTCACTGCTCTCCGGCTCCGACAATTCGCTGTCGTCATCTTCTTGTTCCAACAAAGCTTTTGTTTGCGACAGCGTCCGCTTGACTTTGGGCGGCGCGTCCAGTGTCTGGAAGACGGACTCCTTGCCTTTACGAGCGGGTGCAGAAGGTTTACGGGCCCGCGCACGCTTCGGCGGCGGTTCTAGTTGAGGGGAGGCGGATCGCGAGCGCTTTCGAGAGAGTATTGGCGGCATTGCAGCGCCTATTTTTCTTTACTATCGTGACATAGGCACAAAGGTGATGCGGTTTGTTTGTGGCAGTTGAGGCGCGATGGCTGGAATGATGACGCACTTTCCCCTGTCGCAATTCCGATCTGGCGGGACGATCTCGTGCAAGGATCTCCCAATCGCGTGGCGCCCTTTCGCGTTGTCACGAGCGTCACGCGTCGTGCGTCATACTAGGCCCTCGCGACGTCCAAGTTCTAGCACTGACATTCTGCTACTCTAATTGCGGGTCAAGTTTCACACGGATATTCATTGTTTGTTCACTAGCTCCGATCAACACCGATCCGTCCTACGAGTGTGGTAAAAGTCGATGACCCTCCTCAGACCTTCTTCCACAATATCCCTATCTAATGAAAATAGAAAGCGGAAGTTGCCTGGCTTCTCATCATGATACGCTTGTCCAGCTGACATCTCCACGCCATGATCGTAGAGCGCTTGTTTCAACGCATCCTCTGCCTCCCAAGTCGGGCTGTGTAGACATGCTGAGAGATCAATCCAGAGGAAGAAACCAGCATTACTTAGGCGCGGAAACAAGTCAGTCACTCGTCCCATAGGATGCTCAGGGAAAGTAGAGTCTACTTACGCGTCACGATCAAAAGGAATCCCTGCCTTGTTGAGTCCCTCGGCCACAAGTTCATGGTTTTCACGCAACACCCTCGCGCTCTTCGTCAAAAATTGTGTGTGCCACTCTTCGTCCTCAAGTATGGTCGTGGCAATAGCATCAGTCATTGGCGAGGCGCCGTGAAACCGTCTGCGAACACAAGAGAATCAGTGTCTTGGCCGCCCCTCGAATTCCCGTATACGTACGCTAGAGACTGAACAGCTTGTCCCAGTTCTTTGTTTCTTGTGATTAAACACCCGAGTCTCAAGCCAGCGGCAGCAAAATCCTAACCCACAACATCAGCGCTGAGAATATCACTTGAGTGGAATGTCACTTTACCTTTGACATTCCGTACATTACATGAACAAGTTTCTCGTCAATGATACCTTTCACATCAACGGAGAGTATTGACGTAAATTCTGCATAGGCCGAACTCGTGCCATACACCGATTGAGCATATATTTCATCGCTGATAAGATGTATGCTCTGCTTTTCGCAGAAGCGGAGGATGGCCTCTAGAGTTTCACGGGGATAACACCGGCCTAGAAAGACAAGTCAGTCCTGCTTTTCCTCCATGACAGATAGAACTTTTACCGAGTGGATTATGTGGATTGGATAGAATAAGTGCCTTTACTTTAATCCCATTTCGGCCAGCTTCTTCAACAGCACGCTCGTATTGTTCAACTGCCGCAATAGTAAACTGGTCTTTGCCATCGAAAGGGGCATACACCAATTTGCAGCTGGTACAAGTTAGTAGCTGCGAAGAAAGTTTCGTGCTTTGGTAACGTTTGTACTCACTTGGACATGCTCGCCATATCAGGATAGAAAGATCCGTATATCGGCATACCAAGAAGCAAACCATCAGTCTCTCCGTCTGTCATACATAGAGACAAAATGTCATTCAACGCAGTCACACCACTAACAAAAGATACTTGATCGATTGTTACAGCTGAAACGGGCGAGAAACGCTTGTTAATGAACACAGCCATCGCTTGTCGTAGGCGCTTGGATCCAAATGGGCCGTCATGATAGGTCAAGGTGTCGGGCTCAAGGCTCGGAATACACTAAGTGGTGTTTAGAATACAGTTCCTCCATGTGATACTGAGGGCTGACCTTGGTCTTTATGTAGTCTAGGACCTCTTCTCGCATGAGCAACTATCGACCATCAGCGTTGATACTCGGAATATAACAGCAATTCCAATCAACTCAGACTAACGTTTTCCGCATTGCTGAAAGACACTAAACCTGTTGGGTGTTTGGTCTTGTCATAGAGATGGCCACGGTTTTTGGTGTAGCCTGCAGCCAGATCCAAGGCCGCATATCTGCGACCACGAGTAGACAGCATGTTCAATAGGACAGGTTTGGGGTTCCGAAACACCGAGTTGCAGTGTGGCTGTGTTCATGAAAGAGCGTCGCATGTGAAGCTTCGACTTGCAACGCGGGGCAGCAGTCGCCGCGTGCAAGCCATTCTTGAGCACAGAGTATACATCATGGTACCTGCCTAATTTGTCAAGTTTACAGAAGGCTGTGATTCAAAGGGCGCAGCGCGCTGGAATGACTGTCCCCACCCACAATAGTGGGTGCTATGGTGGAGCCTTGCTTACCGGTCCTTGTTCGACGGACGCCTGGGAGGCCGCCCACCGTGAACATGGCAGAACGCCTGAATGGCCGATTGGACGTGAAATGCGTGTGCAATGTACAGTATGCGCTATCATTGTCAGAAGAGGTTAAACCTCTAATCTGCCTCATCAAGCTGCGATATGAATAGTAACAACCACAGCTGAAGTGGCTGCCTTGTTTCGTGCTGAAGTCGTGGCGTGTTGGATCATGCGCAGACTCCAGAGGAGTCGCGTTGTTATATATCGAGCACGTTTCCTCAGCCTGAGGGAAATGCAGCTTGAATCTCTTGAATTCCTTATAATTCTTCTGATCATTAATAATGATGTTAGACGTCTACTTGTATCTTTTGAGGGCTCGTGGATGTTCGTGTTACCACCCAGTCGTCAGAGCACATTCAACAGCCTCCCGAGGTCGAGAAGCAGAAGCTGTTATGATGCAATGTATCCAAGGGCTGCATAAGACTATGTGAGCGATAGCTCAAGAGCTGCAGTTGAGTTGCAGATTTTGGAGATTGCGAAGTTCCACCGCAAGCGCGATGACACGAGTGCACGTGAAAGGAAAAGCAACCACGAGCACTGGTAAAGCTCAAAGTTGCTACTGGGAAACTAACAGACTAACAGTCTTCCGTCTTAACAAAGTTAATAGCTTCTAGCACCGACACTTTCTTCATGTTTTGAACAGTGCCAAAGTCACGGGTATCGTAGAGCTGCACAACCCCTCACGAAGTCTCGAAAGGGTATGGCGTATACCCGTCGAGGAATTGCGTATCCCTTGATCGCTGCGCGGCGCCGTCGCCTGTCACCCCATCACGACCACAGTTGCACACTTCAACGCATCAAAAGTGCACTTTCATCACTGCTAACACTCAAACCTGACAGAATTGCAGTCAAAGACGCAGCAGAATCGCCAAAATGCTCGACACCTACATCATCAACATAGCCACACCTGCCCGTGACCTGTGGCTCCTCAGGCAGCCGGCCTCCGCAGTCCTCTGCCCGTAGCACGCATCTGCTCAATTCGACTCTGCGCCCTTCTCTCTACTTCTCTTCTTACATGCTTTCCTACTGTTCTGCATAGTACATCGTCATTGTCGCCGTCTCCTAGGCACGCTGTTGCGCTTCTTACCCAACTTCTAGCATTGTCTACCACCTCGCCGGTCCCCACGTCCTGTCCTCAGGCATCCAGACACACCTCAGAGCATGTACTCGCTGCTGCTCCTCACAGTAGTTGTTACTGTCCTCCTTCAGCCGACGGCAGCATCAAGCCCACTTGTGGACTTCAGCATGTCTGACACTCCTATCGACGGGTCCTACGGCGACATTGACGACATGCTGTGCGAGCTCTGCTGCCTGCCTTTCTTCCAATGCATTCACGCCATAGTACGACACCTTCTCTTGCTCTTGTAGACCTTGCTGACAGTCCCAGCCACAAGTCCAGTATGTCGCCGCAAGAACGTTCTACAATGACCCCGGTCTCTTCAACATGCCATCGCTCGACCTCGAACAGACGCCAGCAGACCTGGCACCGGTATACGAATACGTCAACGCGGGTCATGGGCAGCCCTTGATCAACGACTACATGCAAATCATGGACGGGAACGAGACGACGGTGCAGCCAGCTACCGTACAAGCTCATGTGGAAGACATCTATACGCCCGGTGATCGGTTATCTGCACGACGCAGCCGCAACCGCAAGCCAGTACAAAAGCGGCAGGCGCCTCGACCCGGTGGGTTTCCTTGCAACACGGAAGGATGCGACAGGGCGTTTGACCGTCAATGTGACCTAAAGTAAGCTTCGCTATTGAATTAAAGTTAATCGATCACCAACTGACTGCTTTTAGCCGCCACCAAAAGACCCATTCGACAGAGTCACCTCATGTATGCTCAACCTGCAACATTGGTTTCTTATACCCTAAGGACCTCCGAAGACACCTTCCGACACATAATGATCCTTCATTGGTGGTTGCCATCAAGCATTATTGTCCTTACCCTGGCTGCGACAACCTCGACGGCTTCTCACGTAAGGACAATCTTTTGAGGCATCAGCGCAAACACCTCAGAAGGTAGTCTCTGCACGACCTGCACGAGTCATGAGCCCTTCCGAATCTCGTTTCCTTTTTAGATCTCTTTCATTTTACTACAAAATAGGTTTCTTATGATGCTGGCGTTCGGTACACATGTTTGATAGCTTCTGCTAATACCCCTTCCCGACTTTCATAGCAAGCGCTGCTCATGATTTTTGCGGCCTGTTGCTTTACGCTTTTCGTCATCCAGCCGTTGTGGATTTGACTCTTGGAAACTCGAATACGAAAATGGTGTTGTCGATGGTCAACCCCTATCTCCTTTATAGTTGATGTTTTATAGTACTCACGCAACGCATGTACAATTCCGTCAAGATCGACGTTACAATAACAATCCGTTATACAAGGTTCAACCTGCTCCCATACGTGTCACTGCAAGGCGTCTGATTGCGTGCAACCTCTTTAGATACAGGGTAAATGCTTTATCACTTGAATGAGCGTACAACACCCTGCTAGATCAACTCCCACACGATCCCTATGGAAACTCAATCTGCTTCAATACGTTTCCCGCCACACTTCGAACATTCTCTTCGCTGACGAAATGCATATCCGGCAAGTCTTCCCATTCTGTGCCCCAGACCAAAAAAGAAGGAAGTGGATACTCAATCTTGCTCCAATCTACATCTTCCCCACCCGTCACCAGACATCCACGAACCCGCACTGGCGCAAGCTCGTTCTCACTCGGCGACCACGTATGTTGCATTGGAAACTGCTCGTAGAGGTCATATCCATCCAGCCCTCTAGGATTGCCAGCGCGGACCAAATTCAGTTTGCGCATAAACTCCGCCGCATCGCGAAATATACCCAAACGTTCGTTATCTGGCGAGAACGTCGAGGGCGCGATCGGCGGACCGCGCTGGCAGAAAATCGTGATGATGTAGTCTCGAAGGCTTGACTTTACTGGCGTGTTCTCGTACACCCACCTAACCGTCTCGATCTTGCAGACGAAGTAGGTTGGTTGCATCAGCGCCATACCCAGCCTCATCACCGTGTTCTGTGTCCTCCAGATCCCGAGTTCTCCGGCTAGGATCCAGAATTTCATCAGGTCTAACAGATTCGTGTCGGATGTGTACTCAGGAGGTTTGCGCTCGTACAGCCATGTGAAGAGTGTACGGAATGTAGATGGTTCAATGTTGGGAAGCGAAATGTTGGAGAGGATGATGCGAGGGAAACCATTGGGCTTAGTGAACAATGGGGATACTTTTGACAGTAGCGAGTGGTGGACATCGAAGCGTGTTGGATTGGTGGTAGAACCAACGAGGAAGGTTGTAGGTACACCGACGCCTGGGTACGCCGCGTAGGGGAAATTATTTGACATCTGTAACAGTAGAAGTCTTTTTGGTTGTTTGGTCGGAATAGTATTGTGTCGAGTTGCGCGATTCAGTGGACATGATTGGGCGAACAATAAGAGACATTCTGCGAAAGGGGAAAGTAGTTTGCTATGAAAGTATGGCTCAAGCACGACCGCTGGATCAGAAGAGCAGTGAATGGTCTTGTGATGACGCGTTTCCCTTAAGAGACAGGAGGCTCACAACATACGTCTCATCAATGTTCAGATTCTGTACTGCCACCGAATGACAAAAAACTCACGATATTCGCAAAGTTTGCATGCTTCATGATCCGTTCACCCAATAATGAAGATCTCGTCTGGTCCAAGTCGAGCCGCTTCTTGCTCGTGTGGCTTCATTAGATGAGGGATGAATGCGACACCACAGAACTCAGCGGGGCCTTCGCCATGGATTTCGTTATTCTCTCTCTGGGGTTCCGGCCATCGTAGTATGTGAAGAGGATCTTCGCCGTAGAAGACACAAATTTTATCACCGGGCTTGCATCCTGCTGTCGTGATACCAAATCGACCGCTAGCGGTACTGAAGAAGGAATGGCCAGGAAGGTTCAACAGTCTGTTATAGAATGTGATCGCCCGCAATCGCCGCTCGGCGAAGAGTCCTTCGAAATTGTTGTGTTCTCGATCGGTGAGTACAGCCCAAGCATCCTCGTAAGCGGTAGTTGCTTTCCTAGAAAGTCTGGTATCGCAAAGCAGAGTCATCAAATACTCGGGGGGTATACTCTCGATACTATCATTTGTGCAATGAGCTGTACGACGAGCTAGAAGGAGACTGCGAGCGTAAACGTCCACATTCGCAGCGTGTATAGGATTGCTGATCAAGCGCGTTGACGCATCTACGCTCATCATGTAGTTGAACCCTGTTTGCGCCTGAGGATCCTCCACGACCTCTGATATTGTATCTACAACATAACCGCATGTCTTCAAGAATGCATCGTCCTTCTCGAATGCGATAACCTTGCGGGACCTGTACTGACTTGACAGCGGGTCCAAAGCACTGACTGATCGCGCTCGGTCCGCTTCTTCCACGATGTCTTCGAGGAGCGGTGCATGGTTCTGTCCGCTAATTTGTTCGTTCCATGCACCAATCGTCAGCATACTGCATTTGAACGTTCCTTCGAGAGCCGGGCACCAAGATGGGACTGAATGGGGTCTCTCCTCAGTTGTTGGGGGTATCGTCAGTAGACCTAGCGTTTGTTCTTCGACCATGATAGTTTTCGCAAACAGTATGTGAGTTCTCCAGAAGTCCAACCGGCCGTTGTCGCTATAATCGACGAATGGGTCTAGTTTTGATCTCAAAGCTTTGCTAAACAATCCGGTGACTGCCCAGGCTCGGTCGACCGGTTCTTTTGCGCTTCGCCTACGTAGCGTGTGGAGAAGGTATGGTATTCGGTTGTATTGAACTGCCCCATATGGTTCGAAATGCTCACGAAAAAGTTTCAGTGATCTACACGCTGCCCATAACCTGGGTGATGGAGCGAGAAGACCTGCACTTTGCAAAGAGTGGATTAGGTATGAGTCTCGTTGGTACCATCCGTCCTCAGCGAATATGAGAAATTCGTCGAAGTTGATCCAAAGATGTCCATGTAACATTATGGGGTGCTTTGCGAGAACACACTCCTGGAAAGTCCACAAACGTTCAAACCACTGGTTCTTGAGAATATGTAACATGCCCTGTAAGAGATTCTCATCGTTGACAAGGAGACCCTTGGCGTCAATCCAAGGTTGAAGATTCTGGGAAATCATTGAATTCCACTTTCTCTCTTTCTCCAGTAAGCTCGGAAACTCGGCCATAAACTTCTCACTCTGCATTGTAGGTATGCCCATCCATATAACAACCTGTGCAGCCTGCGAGTAGATCTGATGCATCAGTGGTACCTGGACCGCTTTTTCTTCGGTGTCTTGCTGATTGATACATATAGAATCTACCCAACACGGACGGCTTCGATCCAGATGATGAAGGATGTCGAGTACGGTTGGGCTGATTACAAGGTCGGTCCCGTTGCATGGGACTTTGGTTAAGGCTTCTGTTGCTCCCCAGACATATGATATCGCATTTTATTCGAGGTCGTCTTGGAACTTGTGTGGAGAAATGCGCAATCGTAATGCACCCGCATCGTGCTCGATGGTGAAAAGACGAATCCTGTCAGACTGGAGTAGACGTTCGCCATAGGGCGTTTTGGTTGATGCGCCGCCGCGAGCATCGTCCAGATCACGTATCTCGCACTCTTCGATCCGTGGCTCTAGACTGTCGAGTGCCATACAATCTTTGATATGAGTATTATGCAGAGATTCTTATGTTTGTAGGAAAGAAGATGCTTGATCGACTGCGGGGTGCGTAGCTCAACCAGCCCCACCACAGCTGAACATGATGGGGGCTGAGCGTGCCTGCGCCTGACAACGTGAGAGAAAGACGCAAGGAGCTGCAAGCCACTCAAGTCTATGTCCCAAAACAGTCATGCCAACCCAACGTCCCATTTGTAAGAGAAGGCAGATCATGTGTGCAGGTACTAGTGGCGCAAAACGTCAAGCATAAACCTAGACAATGAATGATCGATACTATTTCTTGGTTGATGCGAATTCAGTGGATGAGGGTCAGTCACGCGATACTCTGATGGCGGTAAAGCACCACGGGTGTAACCGTGCCTAGGTAGCTTGCAGTCGGCAATTTGGATCTGCAGCCTAGCCCTCGCCCAGGTGTTGAGGTATGCTTCCTTTGACCAACTATTTCCATAGAAATCTTTCTTTCATTCACATCTAGGCACACCTACGGCCAGTTCTTATTCGGCGGCCCTTGCAGCTTGAAATAGCCCGGCTGCAACTTCTGGAACACCTCTGTGGGATCGTACTTGCGCGCGATTCGCCTCAGCTTGTCTGCACTTTCACCATAGCTCCCAACAACATCTTGGAACTGACTGGCGTAATTCATGTAGATGTAGTCGTTGACCAAGTTTCTGCGCTTCGCCTCTGCCTCCATCTTTCTGACGATGTTGGCGTTCGCCTTCAGGACACGCTCATCATCTTCAGCCTTATCCCAGCGACTACTCAGATTGATAATAAGGATCGGTCCGTCAGAAGGCGAAAGTCCTAGTGCATTCCCTCCCTTCTTTTGCATCTGCTCGAGTTGCGGAACGGTGATGATCTGGAAGGTGTTTGCAGGTAAGATACCGGCGACATCTCGAATGTTCGCGAATTCCTCATAAGTGGCATCGAACATGAACTGAACCAACTCTCGATCCAGCTTAGACGAAGAAGTCCAGAATGACTCGCGATAGCCTTTGGGGTTGCTATTGTTCAACTGTTGCGTAAAGTAGGCCAGAGTGTTCAATTCCGTGGTGTCTTGGAAGGCTTGTACGTTGAAATATTCTTCAAAGACCGGGGGTTTAGCGACTGGGTCTGCATACTCCAACTCGGCAATCGCGATTTGGGTGTTCGTAGCGGCATCCAGAATGATGGCCAGAAATTGCGCAGCCTTCGGGTACTTTGCAATGCTGGTCCCCAGGTTTACGAAGGCGTCGATCGCAGCAGGGAAACTAGAGCTGAGGAACCGTCTTTGTCCGCCAAACATCAGCGGACCGTGGGCGAACGTTTCGAGGTTGAACTTCGTAACTAGGGCGAGATTGTTGCCTCCGCCTCTCAACGCCCAGTACAGGTCTGGATACGACTTTTGACTGACTTCTATGATGCACCCCGAGGCAGTAACGACTTCATAAGATGCGACGTTATCGCAAGCCCAGCCATATTCGTTCGAGAAGAACGAAATCCCGCCACCCGTTGTAAGACCTCCAATTCCGACGCCAGAGACGCGGCCGCCTACCACTGCTAGGTTGTCTTTGGCTAGGGTTGTGTAAATGTCGTACCAGAGGTTGCCGGGTCCGATAGAAGCAACTTTCTTGTCTTTTGACAAAGTGATTTGCTTCATGCGCTCGAACAGAACTGTGATTCCACCATCAATGTTTGATGCGCCTGCAAAGGCTGCATGCCCTCCGCTTCTCACTGCAAAAGGACACTGAGTAAGACGAGACAGCAGCACCATGGTGGATACATCGAGTGCTTCCTCAGGCTTGAACACGCAGTACGGTTGGGCAACCTTCTGCTGAGCTGACCAGAAATAATCGATGGCTATGGTATAGGCAGTCTCCTCTCGGGTCTCGACCTTTGCATCACCAAAGATGCGTTTGAGAGAGCTGCACTAATGTGAGAGTTAGCATCGGCTTTGTTCAGGAATACTACACGATCGTCGGATGTGTCTTACTGCGATCGAGCATCCTCCGCTCGAGCTAGTCCGCTTGGAAAGACCTGCTAGACTTGGAATAGTGGAGATGTCCACACCATTCTGCAACAGTGCCGCAGTAATGTCGAAGTTGGGTGGTTCGAATGCACTCTGTGCGAGTAATCCTATAGGGAAGAAGCCCAGGGAGATAATCTTGCAGAGGTGCATCATGGCTGACTCTTAGTTGCGAACCGGATGAGTATACTACCACGAACAACAATGCCATAGCAGGAGTCAAGAATGCCTGTCTTATAGAACTCAGGACATCTGTACTGTATGTCGGAGGGTTTCCTGATTGGCCAGTCTGACGCTTCCGGGCACAACTCCGAATAGTGGCAAGCTGTGGGACACACAGAGCCTTCGCACTATCGCTATGGCTTGCTTAGGGGATAATCTGCAGCTGAAGAAGTTATACCCAAGGAGCTAATCTGGTAATGTACGATAGTAGTGGTAGTGACAGTGGTATCTAGAGCGAGTAGAATAGATGTGCGACCACACTCAGTTTGTACCTTGGGGCTGAAACTCACTCTACAAAGCGTAGTCGATCGTTTTGTGACTAGGTCTAGATCGCTCATAAAGTTTATTAGGCCGTTCCAGCGTCCAGGTACCATATTCGGGCTCGTAGATTACCCTCCAGCTGCAGGCTTACTTCGTAGCGCATTATAGGTCGTACCGGAAAAGGTTACCCATAATGCTGGTCACGGGTGTATCCATCTCATGCAATCTCCGAATTGCAGATTTATTGTGGAAGACTGATGGAGTTCAGACAGCTCTTCGACACTTTGACGATGAGGCTGTTTGTCGTGGCTCGCGGCTTCAAGGTGAGGGGAAACGGCCCGCAGCGCATACGAGAACCAGAAAAATGGGTCGACACTAATATTCAAGAAGCAAGGTCGGCCCCACTGCGTATTGTACCTTGCTCATCGTCTTCCGACGATTACTTTGTTCGCCGCCTGTAGACACCTAGGCTCATGTTGTGCTGAAGAGAATGCTCGTACGAAATAAAGCCACGCAGTAGTCTAAGCTATGGGCGCTTACTCTTCTCCGTTAGTATGAATGATGTGGAAGACGACCCCGCAGCTTGACCAGAAACGTACTCAACTCCCTATGTAACGATGCTGCTCTTCAGTCTTTCGAACGGTATGGATTTGACTGCTCTAAAATTACTATAGGTTCTGTATATTGTCAGAAGCGCAAAGAGAATGTAAAGCTAGACTTCCAGCGCAAGGCTCTTGGAATGCACAAATGGAGTCGGATCTTGTACGTACCGTATTCAACGTACCTTTCTTGACGATGCTGATTGGGTAGAGTAAGCGCGGATGCGAAGGAGATGTAAGATGTTGCCTTCTTGGCTGTCAGACGAGGCGTGCCTACCGTACGCAAAGCTTATATTGTGTACAAAACCCACAACATCTAGCATCTCTCCTCAGTATTCTTCAGCTGCTACGATCACCTTCAGATATTCCGTCCCTTACCGTCGAGTACTCTGCATAAACCAGACAATATGAATATTGATTCATCGAAATGGAACGAGTATAGTAGGGAAGATGCAGAGTTTGAAGCTGTACGTGTTTGTAGTACAACCATCAATGCCGTCGCTGATTAAGAAGCTACGACCTCATCTTCCACCGCCAAAATCCTTCGCAGATTACTCATCCGCCGCTGAGCTCCGTCAGTCATTCAATGAGCAAATTGGCCAGATGGTTGCGGCCGGCATCGTGACTTTTCCCGACTGGACTGGTTACCACAAATCTGAAATCCAGATTCCTACGCGCGATGGGTCTTCAGTGCGGTCCCTCGTGATTCGTCCTGAGGGAAAGGAACCAGGACCG